TCACGGTAATCTCCCACTACACGCACATGACAGCTCACGGTAATCTCCCACTACACGCACACGACAGATCACGGTAATCTCCCACTACACGCACATGACAGCTCACGGTAATCTCCCATTACATGCACATGACAGATCACGGTAATCAGGCACAAGATTTCTCATGGGTATCGCAGCTGATGCTCTCATGAACTGACATTTTACGCGAACAGTTTTTTTTAACGCCCAGGCTCGGTCCCATACATTCGATGCAACTAGGGCTTGATTGAGAAGAATGATAACGTACACGTATAAGTCACCGTAAATTCTACTTTTTGGTCGTTCTTTACATTCTAAGCATGGGCAAAATATATAAACTAAATTATATATGCGGATAAGTACATCTCGTTTGCAGTAAATACTCTGCATCTTTGAGTTACGCCGAGAGTATACGAGTACACAAATACAATTTTGAAGAAGTAGACTTCCAAGCAGACTGTTTGTATTTGCTATTATAAATTTAAAGTTATAAACAGCGAGGCTATATGAGGTATGAGAGCATAGTTCTAACGCTCACCTTTCATCATCTAAAAAGGAGCTCACATACTCGCTCTTGACCTTGGCGCTCAGCTACTCACAATGCTTTCGTTTGTACAAATTGTTTTTGTAAATTTATTGACTAAATCTGTACCGAAACGCGTGTCACGGAACGTTAACCTGACCATTGATCTGAAACATTATTTTTAATGTGATGAATGTACCTCTAAGAGAAAGTTCGATTATGTTCAGGAACCTTGTTCCCAAATCAGCTCGTGTGCAAGTATTACCGTGTGTTTAAAATCTTAGAACCTGTTCCAGATTGAATTTTTTTCACAAGTAACTCCCGGTTCGTCATGTCAACGACTCCTTTCCCCGAACCACCAAACTGTACGGTTTCCCCATTAGCTGATGGATATTTAAATTAATAATCTCTGAAGTAAAGTTCACTCCATTTGATGGAGTTTGATTCATTCGCAAAAGTATTTCTTAGCGTGAGTTAAAAAAAATCTAGGCAAGGATTTCTTCATAACCAGGCCGGGATTCCCTCATTTATGAGATTAAATGTAATTTACACAGTCAGAATGAACTCACTACATCAAGAGAAATTCACTTTGTCAGGAAAAATCAAATCCATCGAAAGAAATTATTTTCATCGGGAAAATTTCAATTTTTATTCACTCTATCTGGTGGACATTCATCGATCAGGAAAAATTGACTCCATCATCAAAAAAATCTGCATTCCGCCATCGTAACTCATAGATCAGGAGGTCGAGTTTACTTCGCGTTGCTGGCTTAATATGTAGCTTGACTTTGTTCATTTTAAAATTGTCGAACTGCTGATGGAGCCGGACTCTGAAACGTTTTCAATATCGATATGGCGAATTTGCTTGGGGTTTTCTTAGCTTTTAAATTCCTTTTGACTTTTTGAAGAACTGACAAACACAAACATTTTTTCAGATATATTCCGTGTATGAAATGTTCATAGCATTTCCATGCTCTTTGCCAGAAGTTTTCTAGGGGCAAGCGGTCGAAATTTGCAAGAAATGTACAGCAGGTCGAGGCTAGATTAAGTTTCAGGTCGACTACTTTTTATGTCTTCCTGTGAACTGAGTTCAGCCTCCAACAACGTCCATTTGAATCAATCATAATACGGATAGAGTTCGTCAAGTATTGATGATAATCTTTTATGCCATGTTAATTCAAAAAGTAAATGGGTTTAAATAATGTGAAACTCGATGGTCTTTTATAATCTTTAGTTATCAATTACGTGCACGTCACAATACTATTACAAAATTGTTATCTATCTGTTTATTGACTATGTAAGCATTTAATTCACATCAAATACCAGTAAATTTCACCCTTCATCTGACTTTCAGCCTTCCAGCTTGCTATGAGAGAGAATCATCACTTATCAGACATTATGATTGTCTCCAGGGTCTCGTGTATAAAAACTTGCTCCTTTTTTTGTGCACCGAAGACCTCCGAGTTTTAGTATCGGGGAGGGTGGTGGGATGTCGTCGACAGACATGTACGGCTACCACATGACCATGATTTTTTTTTCTCGAGTAATCCGTTACTCGAGTAATCCAAAATCCAAAAAAATTATCCGTGACTTAATTCTGTAAAGACAGAATATTCATTTCTTAATATTTCTTTCTCTTCTGAATTTACTCCATTATATAATAACCAGGATTGAAATAAAAAGCAAATTTTTCCTCTTGATATATATCATGTTTTACGAGTGACAGGAGCCTAGCCTATGTCTACGATTAATTCCTAGCCTATGTTTTCCTATCTTTCCTCCCATAATATTCATCTGAAATTGAATCTCATTTGCACATTCTCTACCTTGACCTAATTATTTAAATCAGGCAGGTGCCGAACTGCGACGCTAGCGAGCTCATTGTCGTACTTTAAGCCAAGTTTAATAGTTGCGATTGAATTTTGCTCAGTTCTATTCATTATTTCATTTAGCATCATGCTAGAAAATTTGTCCCTTGACTCAAAAGCTGAGAGCATTGTTTGTGTACATACTAACAATTCCTTATATTTACTGCCGTTGTCTCACCTTTGCGAGATTTCTTGATTATAAAGCTTGGCGTATTGACGGAATGACTCGTACAAACTGATTGAATTATTCAGTCTTGTTGTGCGATATGAGCAGCTGGTGTCAAAGTCCTCGTTGAGTAAATATTTTGCACCCGGAGCCAGAGTTCAATCATAATTCCTATCAGTTCAATTAATTGTCAAAATATATTTTCTAAAAATTTTACCGTTATTGTCACTGAATTTATGACGGCCAGCACCGTAATTTTTTTCAACTCGACCGTACATCATCGGCGATTTCCCTCGGGGTCTGTGGCTGCGTATGCGCGTGCTTGAAAAGTTCCCGTATTTCCCGATGTTTTTTGCTTCCTTCTGGTTTTTCCGCCTCTGACTAGTACACAGGAGTTGGCTGTATAAGGTAGCTAGCTATACATAAAAAAATCGAAACGTACGTGCTTCGGTTCTCAATTTGAAATGATATGAATGCTGTTAGAAACGAGGCAGTTGATTACTCATTTCTCATTGAACTACTGAAAGGATGTTTCCCACATGTTAAATTTTTTATGCAATATTTTCTAATATTGACAGTAAAATTTTTAATGTGGAATCAAATTTACAACAATTTCAAAACTTTACTCGTTTAGTCGGCGAAGAAACTTGAACGCTCGTCAAGTAACGATCCACGCGCCATCTTAATACAAAGCAGAATTTTCGTTCTCTAAATCTGTTGTGTAGTATTAGACAAAGAATTTTCTACTAAGTAAACAATTATCGAGGCGTCTAATTATTAGTAAGCCTTTAAAACTATTTAACATAATTGGTTGAAGCCATTTAATAAGTAGTAAGACACTCTGACTATTCTGCACTCGACACGCGAGTGTTTGTAAAATAAAACAGGCATCGGCAACTTCATGACAAAGCAGTTTTTTAATCTTTTCAAAAAAATCATCGTTTCCTGATGATTTTTGTCACATGAACTTCTTTTTAAATGCTGATCGTGTTTTTTGTTAAAAATTTTATTTTTCTCATTTAATGCTCTAATAAAAAAAAACAATAAATGAACAACATCGTTGACTCTATTCGTTCGGAAAGGTCTTCTTTCCAGGGTCAGGTATAATAAATGAACGGAAAGATTATTGTATGCTCAAGAATTACTGTAACAAAGTTTGCTCAGTTTTACGTTTCCAAAGCAAGTAAAGGATAACTTTCCGAATTTCTCAACGTATCGGCTGCTCGTATGACATGTGACAAAACAGTGGGGAATAATATTTTATTGTATTTTTCCGCGCAGCGGCATTGACGATCCGTATAACCTGTGACAAAAGGATAACAAGAGGATGACTATTTCAGTCTATATTTGTATATTTGAAAATATTGGCACCATTGACAGCTATGAATTGCGACTAAAAGATAACGTGTGTAATATGTATTTCCCTAGGTGTGGGCACCGACGACACATATAACGTGTGACAAAAACGATAGAAAGAGGATGATTTTTAGCGCATTTTCTCATTTACGGAAAAAATGCACTATTGTGCTCACCATATCCGTCTGTCTGTCCGTCCGTCCGTGAATTCACGTTTTTGTCGACGAGAAAATGCGCTCTCTGTCACTCACTAGCTGCTGTGAGTACTGAGTTATGTTTTGTATTTTTGAATAAATTGGCATCATCGACATCGAAAATAAATACAATGTATTTATTTCCAAGGTATCGGGATTGACGACACGTTCGTGATGCTGGCAGCGTGGCAGCGAGCGAGGTTCCAAGACACGGTGCGAGAACGTCTCTCCAGCGCCTATGCTGACGCTGCGGTGTCCATAACCATCACCTCCCTCACCAACATGATCTCCTTCTATGTCGGCACCTTGACACCCTTCGCTTCTGTGCAAATCTTCTGCATGTACACTGGTTAGTTTTTGTTCTTATTCTAAATTAAACGTTGACCATCGCGTGAAAATTTGGTTTCATTGTTGATCAGATGGCATTTCATTACGTTTACTTACAATACTGTCAATAACCGTCAATATTAATCTAGTAATGAGTTCCAGCCTTGATGGATCGGAACATCAATCCTATAATTAGCTCAATTAATAAATAAATATTGACCGCTAACACGCTCGTACAGGTTTGTCGGTGTTTTTGACGTACATCTGGCACATCACGCTCTTCGGCGCATGTCTAGCACTCTGTGGCAAGATGGAAAAGAAACAAATGCACAACATCACCTGCAGGAAAGTCAAGCCCGTGTCGGAGTCAAGTGAGTACAGTGACTCGTATTGAATTGGGTGTCAGAGACTCGTATTGAATTGGGTGTCAGAGACTCGTATTGAATTGGGTGTCAGAGACTCGTATTGAATTGGGTATCAGAGACTCGTATTGAATTGTCATCGTAGCCTCGACCTAGCGGCTATGGTTGGGCGATCAAAGGATTATGGTCACATTCTCGTAAGAGAAAAAGATGAGATAGCACAGGAACATTATAGAATAATTTTTTGTAAATAATAGTTCCTTAAAAGAACCTTGTGAACACAAGATGAAAGAAAAAATTAGTCAGATTTTTTAGGGTTAAAGGAATACAGTATATCATGAACTACTGTGGTCTCACTTGAAGGTTTTGTGTTGATGGAAGGTATGTTTCTTGTGACATACCGAACCTCGATTTATTTTCTACTAATTATGGAAATATTTACAACAATTGATTAATTTATTCCTGACACTCTAATCTATAAGTTTTCACTTCCACTACATTTACTACATAGAGCATTAAAAACGCAGTGCAACTAATAAAAAGTCTCTATGTTTCTCACCGTGTTAACAAAGCGCCATTATTTAGCGATTTTAAGAGCATAATGGCAGGGGCATGACTGTTAACTGATGCCAACGATCAATTATGCGTCAAACCTTCAAGATCCAGCCGTGCTCATGCATGCGGATGATGTTGTTTATACGGCCTCCTGTGTGTACACTTTCATTGAATTGTTATCTGCACTAACGTGATTTTTTGCTTAATTTAAATTATTGAAAATATTATAATAAAAAATAAAAATGCAACCTTGTTGAGTGCTTGTTGAGTGATGAGCTTTCAACCACAACTTGCACCACCACGCTGCACAACATTAACTGCGTGCATGCACCGACGCAACAAATTTGCTGACATCTAAATTTGCTGAAAATTTGTAGACAATTTCCATTTATCTCTCCAAATGCAATTAAACTTTCATATATATAACCAAAAGCAGCGTTTACACATAAAGGAATTCCGAAGTACATATGCTCCAAAGTAAATATTTTTCGTTGCTATGAAGATTTTTTCATTGTTCTTCTTATTCACTAGCATAACTTTCAGTTTTGCTTAGAAAAATAGTTCAGTTTTGCTTAGAAAAAAAGTGATATTAGTATTGCCTCAGTCTTTAAATGGAAATTACGACGATTTCAATCTTCCCTTCTTATTATACCTAATAGAGCTTTATCATACGATGATCATCCATCATAATATAGAAACCTAAATTTTGAATAAACTAGGCGAAAGAGATTTAATTAAATTTTCTTTATTTCAATGCATTAATTTATTAGGTGTTTATTTTCTAAGCTCTGAGAAATAGACTTAATTGGCCAATTGGCCTAGATCGTAAATTTTTGCTCTGTTAATCAATACTCGAGTAAGCATCATAATAGATTATCATATCGTTGGATTCATTTTAAACATTTGCGTTTATCTCATCTTCACGCAAGAAATTTCTTTGTTTGACATGTTTTTTTCGATTTTTTACGGAGGCGCTTATTGTAGTGTTGAAACATGTGTTTTACTCTTTTGAACGTGTATTCCCTGTAAAGGATGAACCGTAACTTTTGAACATATAATCACTTCAGCGAAGGAGCCGTATATTTTAAACACATATCCCCAACTGAGGAAGAGCCGTATATTTTAAACACATATCCCCAACTGAGGAAGAGCCGTATATTTTAAACACATATCCCCAACAGAGGAAGAACCGTACCTGTACCGTGCTTGTTGCTCTGGAGGAGTGTCCGTTGATGATCCCTACAACCCCGAGGACAACCAGCCCCACGCCATCATGATCATCTTCCGGGACTATGTAGCAGAGTTCATCAACATGCCTGTTGTCAAAGGTAGATTTGAACTATGAGTCTATGAGTATTATTGGTGTTATCACAAGAGACTAGTCTCACTTAATTTTACTATCAAATTTACTTCTATGGTGATAGGTGAAAGTGAAATTAGATCACTTTTACGTTCTTTTTTTGCATGTTTTCCTCTTTTCGTCGGTCCTCGAAGTGATATTGAAGATCAAAAATATAATATAATTTGAGTGGAAAAAATGTAATTTTACCGAAAGATTTATTATGGATTTCGATCGAAATAGGTTTGATTTTTTACCTTCAACTTTGTTCCCATTAAATCATCTCATCTTTTGGTCTCAAAATGTTGACATATTCTGTAAACTCTTGGATAAACAAGCTCTACGTTTGCGTATATCTTCTTAGTTCATATCAACCATGCCGTTCACACTCACATTAAGAACTGCAACATTTTCAGCACGATTATATTATCTGAACGGTTTTCATTGATGGGCAGGTTTAATTATGGCCTGCTTCGTGATCTACTTCGGCTTTGCGATTTACGGCTGCACGATCATTCAAGAAGGTATGGAGACCCGCAAGCTCGCCCGTTACGACTCCTACACAGTTCCGTTCTACAACTTCGTCGAGAAATACTTCAGCACCTTCGCCTACAGACCCATGGTACGTGAGAAGTTTTTTTATTTTGTCATTATATGCAAACAAATCTCTCGTCGATTTACAGATAGCTATCAAATGGAATTACTGTTCATCGCGATATCAAACTTATAACCATCCTACAGGACACTCTTTTATCTCTAGTTTGAGATAACAATGCGAGAAGTATTTGGAGTAAAATCATCTCATTTGCAGCAGAACGTATAAAAAGTTCTCACGTCGAATATCAAACCATCGAGTTAACTACTTAATCGAACATCTTTTTCGCGCAGATCGTTTTCACAGGAAACATCACTTACAGTGATCCGGCCACAGAAAAATTAATCTTGGATTTCGTGGAGAGAGTCGAAAGTCACGAGTCTATCGGCGACCCGCTGTACACGGAATGTTGGTTGCGGCAGTGGAAGAGATACATGGAAAAAAATGGACAGTACCTCGGACTCAATAACAGTGATGAAAAGACCTATATTCACAACCTACAAGAGGTGCGTTATCGAAGGCTTTCTCTTGCATGTTAACATCAAAATGCTGTCTTCGTAATCTGTAAGGAGTGCGTCATAACATAACAACATAACATAACATAGTGATGTCGGCGCTGAAGTGTAGGCCTGATGTGGCCTGTCGCCGATTCTTTTCCTTTTCGTGCCTTGTTCATAGATCTAAACTCGTATCATTTGATCGGATCTTTTCATGACTGGCGATAG